CGCGCGCATACACACACATTTTAAAAGAGTTTGTATTTTATGCTAATTTGAACAGAATAACATTGATTAAATAACAGAATAATTAATAAACAAAAGTATAGTTAAGTAGTAAAAATAATTTGAACAGAATAACATTGATGCTAATAATTTAAAAATAAAAAAATTTAGAGACTTTTACATATATAGCCCATTTTATAGAATCAAATCTAATAAACAGCCTAATATTTGTTATATTTTGCATTATGCTCATTTTAATATTTAGTTGATATTTATATGACAAAACTACCTCTTTGCAAAAATATAACCTTCTTTCAAATGCTTTTTTTTTTGCAAAAACTTTTTTTTAAATACTTGAAAATGGAAGAGAGCTTCATTTGACCCCTTTTTCAAAAAAAGAAATAATGAGATTAAGCATCCTTATATCTACAAAATTAAATAGTGGTGATAAATTTTTATTAATATAGTTTATCAGTGATATACAATTGTATATCATTGATATACTATTGTAGATCAAAAAGATGAAAAAAAAATTATAATTATTTGCCTAAAATAGTTCAAATACAACCTATAAAAATTCTAAACATCTTAGCTTATTAGAAAATCAAATACATAAACTAATAAATCTTATTTTTCATCATAAGAAATGATGAGATTACACATCCTCACATCTACAAGACTAAATAGTGTTGATAAGCTTTAACTAATATGGTTTATCAATTGCATATCACTAATATACTATCATGAATTAGAAACACAAAAAAAATATAATCATTTGCCTAAAATAAATTAAACACAGTTTGTAAAAAAATTCTAAACATCTTAACATATTATAGAGAATCAAATACTCATCTACAATGAAAGTTCTAGATTTATATTCATCTTTGTGCAGGGAGGCCTAGCAATGAGACTCATCTGCAGAGGCACAAAATTAAACTACTCATGTTGAGATATCTTTTGTAGAAAAGTGCACTTGTTAGGATAATAAGAAAGTAATCTGTAAATATCACCTTGATTTCTTTGTCTACCAAAAAAGGGAATGAACGGTTGTGAAACGGGGAGAAATATGATGGATATATCGGCAGGGATTTGATTTAATCTCTTGGTGATTATGAAAAGTGGTATATATGAAGAATTCTTAGTAACATAAGGATATGTAGGCGTGCAAGGTCCTCAGAGGTACTAGATTATGTTATTCACAATAGAAACACAGCCAAGCTTTATGCAGAAGAATACTTAAAATTAAATTAAAAAATATTTTTTTGTCCCACAATTAATTTTTCAGGACTTTATGAGAGGCCCCATTCAGACAAAAATCGTATCAATATAGCTTGAGGCATAATACACGTACGCCTGATTGTATGAAATCTATTAAAATTTAAGAAAACAAAAAATTACTTCTGATTCAGAAAAAAATGCCTCTTTTTTTTTAAAAAAAAACATCACTTTCTACATAGATTGTAATTAAAACTGGCATGCTGTTTTTTACAACTTACATAAAAAGTTTATTTTCTCAACCAATTTAATCCATCATGCTATAAAATATCAATTTTAACTCGCATGAAAAATCATTTGATCCAATTGTGATTCATGGCAGAGATGGAACCTTATTTTGATCTTGTTGACTACATTTTTGTGCCTTGCATTGTTTTTATTGGGGCTGAAGGGGCAGGGTGAGAGAAGAAACAAAGTAGTTTGTCTCGGTGTGTGAGAAACAGAAGGACGACCCTCATTAAGCATTTTAGTCCTTCTTTCATAGCATGTTGAGTACTCCATTCAGTGTCATAAATTGACAATGCATGTTTTAAAATATTTATTTAATTTTATTTATAAGTTACAGTATAATTTTTTAAATAATATTTAAAAAATATTTTAAAATTATTTTTATGAGAGAGAAAAATAATAAACATCACTTTTTAAATTTATTACGTAGAGATATCTTTAAAATTTATACACTTTTATTTTTTTTTCTTTTTCATTAGTATTAAAAAAGTTGGTAGAAATGAGTCATAGAAAGACCGAAAAATATTCCACCCTCTCTTCCTATTTATACCCTCCATGCCTCCCCTTCCAGTCATTCATGCTTCATCATGATTCTTATTCTCATACATACATACATACATACTTGTTCTTCATATATCTCAATTTCATATAACAAATGTAGAAATTTATGTCATCTTATTTTTTTCTCTCACAAGAAAGGCAATTTTAGAAATACGTTTTTAATATTATCTAGCCAAACAATCCAAACCCCAATTTTATCAAAATCAATCTCTAAAAATTTATCCAAATATCATTATGAAAATCAATGTTTTTATAATAAATATTTCTAAATTAAAATCCAAACAGGCCCAATTCATTCCAATTGATTGCACAGATCTGATGCCCCCTTCCGATTGAAATATTTAGCAATGGCATTTTCGGAAATATAATTTTTCTCATTTGTGTACAGCATAAAATCGTACATTATGCAATTGTTTTGCGCCCGCGCGCAGATACATACGTATGTATATTTCTAAAAGAATTTGTATAATTAAAAATTAATAAATAAAAGTATTTAGACTAATCTTGCTTGCCACTCCCTCTGTCCCAAACTATAAAATAATTTTAGAAGAATTTTATTTTTTAAAATATAAGATAATTTAAAAAATAAAATTTTATTAACTATATTTTTTTAATATTACCTTTTACATGAAAAGAAAATTTAAAAATATAAATTTAATTTAAAAGTGGAGAGATAGTGAAGGGAAAAAATAGTGGAGAGAAACACATTCTTTTTTTTTTCCAGGCATATCTATTGTCACGTACCTTGCAAAAGTTAACCGCCCATCTTTTTATATTTCTTTCATCAAATTATCTAGCATCCAAAAAATATATTTAATTCTGATCCGTTCAAATGATCAAAATTTCATCAACACACACATCACATGGGTATTAAAAATACATATGAACAATATATTTTGAAATATTATGTATGGATGAAAATGGGTCAAGCTTCAGCCAGATTTTGAGTAAATAGATTTAGCCTATTAATTATAAATTTAAGTATGATTTTTTTTTTGTTAAATAGATCATGTCAAAATTTGAAATAGACAGACTGTACGTTTTCGCAAGCTTATTTCCTTATTTTAGTATAATTAACTTTTTGTTAAGTAGGCCAAGCCTTGATCGTAGAGACATACAGCCTTTCCTGTTTAAATTTTGGTCTAGCTTTTTTAATAAAAAGACCATGTTTAAATTTATAATTAGGCTTATTTATATAAATAGGTTAAGCTTGTTTATTTAAAATCTAATTTAAGCCTGACTTATTTTCACCCATATATGATATTTCAAAATATATGTTCACATGTATTTTTAATAGCTATGTGATGTGTGTATTGATAAGATTTTGACTATTTAAATAGACTATATTTTAAGGGTGTTCAAAGACTGAGCAAGATTGAATTTGTAGTCAACTCGATGCCTAGTATTAACAATGCCAGGTTATTAATTTTTAGTCCAGGACCAATCCTACTCGAATTGACTTGAGGGCAAGACAAGATCGAGTTTGGTCACAAAACTAGGACCGGGTTACAAGATTACCCATCTCAAAAATAGAATTTATTGGATCATAAAAAAATAAAACTAATTTTTGAAAATAACATAGCCTAATGTCCAAAAGTAATAAAACCTAATATATCACATAAGTTCATAATTAAAATGTAGTCTAATAACCATTTCTTATATATTTTATTTAACCTTTTGTATAGTTTATCAGCCATTAAAGAAAAGCCCAAACCCCACAGTCCCCACTATTAACAATATATTAAACACCACACAAAACGAAGCTAAAGTTGTAGATCAAGTCAAGCTATTGCTCTGATAGTCAATGAAAGAGAAAGGAGGGAGACAAAACTTGACAGCAAAGAGAAAGTAAAAATAATTAAGAGAGATAGTGAAGTAGTTCATTTAATTTTAAAATTTCAAAAAGTTTCTATTATCTCTCATAAGCAGCACCTAAGATTAACTTTTTTAAAGAAAAAATAAATACACTTCAAGTCAGACCAGGCCAATCAATCAAAACCTTCACCCTGTATCTAGTCTGACCCGGTGCATAATCCGGTCTCAGTCTCCCATTTAGTCTCTGGGATGAATTTCATTGTGTTGAAACCCAATCCCATGTCACCGAGTAGGATCGGGCAGATTGGCTTCTCAAGTTCTTTGCATAGGCCTACCGAATTTAGCTGATGAGAGATGCTGAGAATTTTGCCGCTAAGAGGATCCGGTTCCTACTTGTATGATGATTACTTGGAATAAGAAATTAACTCCTCAAAATCTATGTCCCATAGTAATTTGCCAATTTTTTTTATATAATAGTAACTTGCCAATTATATATCAACCAATTTCTTATTTCTTAAATATGCACGAGTTTTATTATGGCTTTGTATTTCCGAAAAAAAAAAAAAAGCAGTATTACCATCGGGATATTGGTTATTTATGACAACCTCCGGCCAAACTGCAAGGCACATTCCACCATACTTCACATACTTAATACTATTATAAAAAATAATTTCGTGCCTTACTTTTATTTAAAAAAAAAGTGACGTCTTTTTTTCCTTTAACTCCTCCGTAATAAAGAGTGAAAAAAATGTTCAGTCAAATTATATTTTTATACCTACGTTATAAGGATAAATTTAAAAAAATTAAAAATAATAAATGTTTTATATCTTAAACCAAGTTTAGATTAAAAAAATATCTTTCAATTTAAATCGAGAAGAGTGTAATTGAGAGGTCAAGCTTTCAAAAGTTATACGTACAAGATATATATAATATAAACTTGTGGCTTGCCCATACCCAATTAACTTAGTTCACCAATCCTTTTAATTAATCTATGCATCTTGATTGTGAGTAAAGGCAAAACTATATCTGTCTTTTCCCCCACTTGGAGGAAGAAAAGGAAGAGAGGCTTCACTTAAAACCTGAATCACAAGGCCGACATGAATTTTAAAATGACACATATACCCTCGTGCAAATCACTTGGCCATTTATGAGAAGTGTTCATTTAAACTAATCAAAAGCTAACCTTCATCTTCATGAAATATTAATAGAAAATTTACACGATAGCAAGATGAAATGACTTGCATTACAAAGTACGAAGCATTATTTTAAGGGCAGATGAGCTTGAAAGTTGCCTTCCCAAGGGACCCTACATCAGTGGGGGATCATAATAGTAATCGTAAAGAGATATCTTACGGTTTTAGTCCTCCGCGGTAGGGTGCACCGTAGTTTCTGTTCCGCTATCGACGTAATCGTCGCCGTTGATCTGATCCAGCACCAAAATCAATCCCATGGCGAAGGCACCATCAAACCCCGGCTTCACGCAAAGCGTGAACACTTCCTTCCCCAGCATCACGCTCGTCGTCTGGTCCACCTTTCGTCGGATCTCCGCCATGGATTCCTTCGTCACATTGTACACCGTGCAGTTCCGCTGCGAGAAGCACCCTTCGATCTGGTAGTACTGCTGCTCCTCTCCGCGGCCGTCGTCCTCGTACACCTCCACCGTCAAGCCCGCTCTCGACCGCCCGATGATCGACGACCTCTTCACGCTGAAGATCGGCTTGTCGCCGTCCATCCTCTCCCCCTTGAACCCTTCCCACCGTTGATGCAGGCTTGGCCTCTGTTCACGACGACAAACAATCATCCAATTACAACTGTTGAGGAAAACGATTGAAATGACTGAACAACAACCAATTAGAGTGAACCAGCAGTAGTTCGATCCAAATATTTAACAATGGTAGGAAGATTGAGGACGAATCTAGTGATTGGTATACCTTTCGGCGAACGGTGAGGAGGCAGAGGCCGTGAGGATCCATGAGGACAAGCTCGTCCTTATCGCGGGCGTCGGGTCCGTAAGTGTCGACCCGGAAGACGAGCTGTCCATGGCAATCGTAGACAGTGAATCCGTCGCCGGCGAAGAAGAGAGAGGTCTTGAGAACGGTGAGATGGGTTTCTTCTTTGAAGACATAGGCGTCCTGGACAACGAAGGACTCTTTCATAGTTGAGACTTTGTGGAAGAAGGTTGGAGTAGTGGAGGGGAATTGGGAGAATGCTCAGGGATTGAATATATATATATATATATATAGAGAGAGAGAGAGAGAGAGAGAGAAGAGAGAAGGAATGGAGAAGAGAAAAGAAGATGAGATGAGAGTGGTTCAGGGGTCTGGTTTCGGCTTTGTAGGAGATAGGTGTGAAGGAAAGTGGGCTCGACAAGAAAAGGTGTCACCGTCCTATATATATATATGAGATACTTTTAATCGAATGATATAAATCAATAAAAATTAATTATCAATTTAAAATATAACAATATTTTAATTTTATTTATAATTATTATAAATAAAAATGAATATTTTTTAAAATCAATTTTAATACTTTTTTCTTTTTTACGTGATAAGGATATAATATTTTATTTACTAAAAAAATATTGTTGATAACTTCTTGTATTTAAATTTAAAAAAAAAAAAAACAGTTCTAGAACACATATGGAGTGAGTAGGTGCCAACGGTAGCTGTCTTCTTCCCCACATTTGGCAAAACAAAGAAAAATCTACACAAGTTGATGTTGACAAATTTTACAAGTGGATGAGAAATTTTTTAAGCACTAGGATTTAATTAGAGTCATCTCATCCATAAAACATTTTTTTTAATTAAACCACCTTGTATAGATATATGAAATGAAGGCAATTGGATTGGATTTCAGCTAATATGGACTAAAGCAAATAAGTTGCAAAAGTGACCACCGTATAATTCAAGCTTTTATTGCCAAGATTTAAGTACTGAACTTGGTATTGGTATACTTCATACTTTTCTCTATTGTCTAATCAAATCAAGAAAAGTATACTTTTATGATGTATTGATGATAATGTTAAAAATAAAAATTTATTATTGAATAAATAATATGTAAAATATTCATGTATCTTGATTCAATTAAAAACATATACATTACATATATAAGTTAAGGTATATAAGTTTTATCTTTTTTTATATAAGTTTTATCCTTTTTTATTTTTTATCTTGTTACCTCATTAAGCTAGCTAAATCATTACCTCGCTGTATGCTGGCTTTGCAGTTGGATTTGAACTCAGTTTTATAAGTTATGGGTCAAAAATCAATCTTTCTTGGTTAATTATTAAAATATCTTTTATGTTTAAAAGACTTTTGAATAAATTTGTATAATTTTTTATTCTTTAATTGAAGTTAAGTTTATTTTTTGACCCATAATAAGTTTCATGTTTAGGATAAAAATTTCCCCGCACTAAAAACTGAAACATATTTTTGTAAGAAATATTAATTTGGATAAAGGGATAAAAATATCTATAAAGTAGTCGAGCAACCATTATCCTAAAGTGATAAAAATAATAAAAATATTCATAATATTACATGGATGGGTGCAAAAATAATCATAACGTTGACTTTAACCTAATACCATTAAATTTGACCGTTAAATACTGATTGTGCATACACGTGTCAGTCTTTGCTGACATGAACTAAAAAAGGGGCAAAAATATCCACGAAGTCATCGATCAGGAGAAAAAATACCTATAACGTTACCAGAGTTGGTGCAAAAGTGATCAATACATCGAATCCCTTAAATGTTGACCATTTAGTTGACACCTAAGCAGAAATTGACTATTTTTTCACTGATGTAGATAAAAAATATTTCAAGATGAATTTTTACGAATGTTGATCGATTATTGTATGAATATCTATAATGTTATTTTAGTAGGTCCAATAGTAACCAATCCGTTAAAATCAACGCCATATGATTTTTTTCCATCATAATGTATCTCGCCCCTTTCCTTTTTCCTTCTCCACTCATTTTTCTTATATGCAAAACCTAAGATTTACCATAGTGAGATAGGTTGTTCAAAATCAAAGATCAAGATTGAGCACATCTAGCTTAAGAACATTGTCACAACCTTAAACAATTGCATTCATGATAGATTTAATATTTTCAAATAATTTTCATCATTACTGTAAAGAAACAAACAATTTAATTTAATATGCAGTCAAAATGACATTTTCTCACATGATATTCATACAATAACCAATTAACTTTCAGAGAATTTCATTTAGGAATATTTTTTGTTTACATCAATGAAAAAAATAGTCAACTTTTGCTTAGGCGTCAGCTAAAGAGTCAACATTTAAGGATTGAATATATTGGTCACTTTTGCACCAACTCTGATAACGTTATGCTTATTTTTGCTCCTAGTCAATGACCTTGTGGGTATTTTTGTCCCTTTTTTAGTTCATGTCAGCAAAGACTGACACGTGGCATGTACAGTCAGCATTTAAAGGTTAAAGTTAACAGTGTTAGGTCAAAGTTAACGGTTTAGTTATTTTTGCACCCATATATATAACGTTATGAATATTTTTATCTTTTTCATCACTTTAAGATATTGGGTGTCCGTGGCTAATTATTTTGTAAGTATTTTTACCTTTTTACCCTGTTAATTTTAATAGCAAACAATAAATTACAAAAACGTTTTGCAAGTCAACTTTCAAAAATAACTAAAAAATAATTTTGAAGATAGAAAGGATGCATATGTAATTATAAGGTAAAAGAGAGGAAAAGTAGGCAACAGCAATTAAATCCTTGATGTAAGGTATGCCTTTTAAAGAGATACTCACAAACTATCAACCGGATTAGTCTGTATTAAAGACTTAAAATGCCAGAATAGGAGTAGGGAAAAAAAAAAACCTATGTCAATATATTTTTCTCTAAGAAAAATGTTGTCACTCTTCTAACTTTGGTAAACTAATTTATCAAAATTAGAAAGGAAAAGAGGATACGGGTTTCCACATGATCGGAGTGACTTTGTTTGTTTCGAAAATTTAAAAGCGCAAAACTAATAAGATTCAACGAAGAAATCCAGAAGCTGATTAAATTAAAATTAAAAATGATAAAAAAAAACTCGTCTTAAGATATTTTATAGAAATAAATATAATATAATTGCATATCTAGGTCAATGTCATGGTCCTTGTATCGTGGTCTAACTACAACGGTTTGGCTGACCAATATTACCTCACCACTAGGGTGTTTAATTATCATTGATATAAAATATTTTGTTAAGGATTTTGTACTTATTACAGTCAAACTTCCAAAATAATCTTCAACAAAACCATCTATATAAATCAACTCAACATTTATTAGTGCTAACTACTATTTGAATTGGAAGAATGGAGAGCTACAATTCAGTTTCTAAACAAATTAATTCTGGAAGAATTTTACAATTTGTGCTTTTATTAATTTTTCATCCCGTCAAAAAACAGAATATCCACAGAATTCTTTTTTAAATCTGCAACCAGAGGAAAAAATTGCAGCAAAATACTAAGTTACAAGCTTTTTGTTTAGAATATTTTCAATTTTAAAATAATTCTAAAGCACCTCAAGGTAAAAAAAAAAAGCCAGGGGTAAATTAAAATGAAAAAAATGTTCGGTATAAGTTAATTTTATTTTAATATGAATATTTTTAACGCTGGGTGCATGTGAAGGTGAATGGAATTGATGAATAATTGAATATTATAAGTGAGGAAAAAATGGTGAATTAGTTAGAAGCTCGTGACACTGAATCCAGCAAATCGATACTGACTTTATTGAGAGTAAGGATGAATTTTTCAAATAAAAAAATACTCCTAATGTGAATATAAATTGAATTGCATTAATGTTTACAAAAAAATAGAATTACATTAATCTTTGCCAAAAATAGGATTACACTAATCTAGGTCCCTAAAAATGTTTTAATTATCGTTAGAGTTGTAGCTGAAACACGTTTTATAGAAGTCGTGGTTTATATTTGTTGGTTAGAAAGTATGGTCGTGATTATTTTCTTTCTGGTTTTTTTTTCTCTCCGTACATTTATATATGAAATTTAAAAAAATGGATAAAACATGGCTTAAAATTCCACATGAGCTCCATGAAACTCCACTCCATGAGGGAAGACATTACCAATTTTTCCATCCTACAAAAGTATTTTTTTTCAAAAAAAAAATCTCTCAAAGTGTTTAAAAGTCTTCTCCACATGCAAGTCAATTTTTTAAAAAATTGATAATTCTTTTTATAAACTCATTTTACATAAAAATATATTATTAATTATTTTATTTTAATGTTATCCTTTTATATCTTTTGACAAATAGAGTAAAATGTTACATATGAAAAAAATGTTTTAAAAGATGGTGCATATAATAAAGGTACATGGGGAAAATTTTTTCATATAAAATTAATAATCTAATTAGGATAATGAGTAAGTTACTTTATAAACTTTAGGTCTAGTAGCACTGCATACTCGAATTCATTCATTGTGCAAATTGTTCCCTTAAATTTTAAATACAATGCAATCTATCTCTTACCATGAATACAAATTAACTTCGATCATTAATTAATTTGAAAAGAGCCTCAAAAAGTTACAAAAAATGATCAAAAAATTACAATAAAAGACTCAAAAATTATAGACAAAATACCCCCAAAATTACAGAAAAGGATAAAAAAATTTTGGTCTTTTTTGTCATTTTTAAATCAACTAACAGTCAAAATTAATTTTTATTAATGGCAGGGATCAGATTGCAACATTTTCAAGAATTGAATAAAAAATTTGTATAATAAACAAGTTCAGAGTTTATAATATTATTGGATCTAAAGTTGAAGGAATAATGTGCATATGTACCCTTTGATCAACTCTTCTTAATTCTAGTGAAATATAGTTAGAAATGACTTAGTACTATCTCTATATCAAATTATGATAATTTTTTTTTGATAAAATTGCACATACTAATAAAGTTCACTAAAAACACAAATATATATTTTTAAAAATACCCTTAATTCAATATATCCCTTTATAAAAAAAATATGATATATTTTTAGTTAAATAACAACATATGATAAGTTAGTTAAATTGTCTTTAAATTTACATCATCTTTTCAAATTTATTCTTATTGAATAGAATGCATCACTTAAAAGTAATAATAGTTGATGGATTTATTTATTAAGGGTATTTTTGAAAAAAAACTCATTAATTATATATTAAAAATACTAAAAATATCTTATATTTGTTACCATCTTACCTAGCTAAAAAGAAGGCAAGGTAATTTTATTTGAGAAACGTTAGAGAGAGAGAGAGAGAGGGAGA